AGCAGCAGCAGTCACGGCACCACCAGCAGCAGCACTACCAGCGCTCTCGCAGCAGCAGCTGCAGTGCAGCAGATGCAGCAGCAGCAGTAGCAGCAGCAGCAGCAGCAGCAGCAGCAGCAGCAGCAGCAGCAGCAGCAGCAGCAGCAGCAGCAGCAGCAGCAGCAGCAGCAGCAGGAGGAGACCTTGGAAATGACGGGAATGAGGGGAAGTTGGAGAGACTTTGCTTTTTTGAAGAGCAGCAAAGTCTGAAGTGGCAGCAGCTTTTGGGAAATGTCCAGCAGCAGCAAACAGCCTTCGCTGGCCCCCAAACTGCGGCGAACTTCAAACGCAAAGTCCGCGTGGCCTGCAGACATTTAATTAATTATTTAATTATTTAATTAATTATTTAATTATTTAATTAATTGTTTAATTATTTAATTAATTATTTAATTTATTTAATTAATTATTTAATTTATTTAATTAATTGTTAATTTATTTAATTAATTGTTAATTAATTTAATTAATTATTAATCAATTTAATTAATTAGTTAATTAATTGTGAATTAATTTAATTAATTATTTAATTAATTTAATTAATTGTTAATTTATTTAATTAATTGTTTAATTAATTTAATTAATTGTTAATTAATTTAATTAATTGTTAATTAATTTGATTAATTATTTAATTAATTTAATTTAATTTTTCATTTATTTACTTTAGTTTGATTAATTAATCAGTTAATTTAATTTAATTTAATTTAATTTTCTTTATTTAATCTGATTTAATTTGATTTATTTAATTAGTTTAGTTTAATTTAATTTAATTTAAATAGTTTAATTTATTTAGTTTGATTGATTTCGTTTAATTTAATTGATTTGTTTAGTTTTATTTAATTTGGTTTGGTTTGACTGATTGAAAGGAAAGAAAAAGAAACAGAAAAAAGATTAACAAAGATTAAAATGAAAAAAAAGAGATAAGAAAACAAGAAAGAAACAAAGAGGACAGAAAAAGATTAAAAAGATATTATAAAGAAATTAAAAAGATATTAAAAATGTGTTAAAATGATATTTAAATGATATTTAAAAGATATTTAGGAGACATTTAGAAGATATTTAAGAGATATTTAAAAGATATTTAAAAGATATTTAAAAGACATTTAAAAGATATTTAAAAGATATTTGAAAGTTATTTAAAAGATATTTAAAAAATAAAAAAGACAAAAAGACAAGAAGGGAGCCAACAGCACATTAAAAACAGACGAAATGCATATTTAAAAAATGTGAAAAAAAGATAAAAGACAAAAAACGAAACAAAAAAAAACAGAAGGAAATGAAGATAAATAGAAAGAAATAAAAGAGATGAAAGAAATAAAAAGAAATAAAAGAAATAAAAGAAATAGAAAGAAATAAAAAGAGATAAAAGGAGATGAAAAGAGATAAAAGAAATAAAAGGAAATAAAGAGAAATAAAAAAAGAAAAAAAGAAAAAAACAAAAAGAAATAAAAAGAATTGAAAAGAAATAAAAGAAAAGTGTCTTTAATTAGCAACCTGGGGTGTCAATGAGATTCAGCATGTAAAAGTCATTTTCTTCCTTGGGATCGTCCGATCCCGATCCCGATCCCGATCCCGTGGGATCGGGATCGCTCGATCCCGATCCCGTGGGATCGCTCGATCCCGACTTTGTGGGGTTGGGATCGATCGATCCTGATCCCCGTTTTGTGGGGTTGGGATCGATCGATCCCGATCCCCGTTTTGTGGGGTTGGGATCGATCGATCCCGATCCCCTGGGATCGGATCCCGAGGGCCTGCTGTACAGCAAAGAACAAGTCCGCGCCCTAACAGTTATCCCGCGGCTGCTTTCAACTTCTGCAGAAATAAAAAAATAAAATAAATAAAATAAATTTGAATAAATAAAATTAATTAGAATAAAGAAAGAAAGTAAAATAAATTTGAATAAATGAAATTAATTCGAATAAAGAATGTTTATTTCTTCAGTTTTGTTTCTTTGCTCTAACTTCTGTTTCTTTTCATTTCTCTATTTTGCTTTGGGATTTTTCTTTATCTTTAAAGAGTTAAAAATGAAGAAATAAAAAGAAATAAAAAGAAATAAAAAGAAATAAAAAGAAATAAAAAAAAATAAATTTAAATCAATAATGAGGCAACATCTGTCCTCGGGATAAAATGATGTAAAAGGAACTAAAATAGGAATGAAGAAAATAAAAAAGAAATAAAAAAGAAACAAAAAAGAAGTAAAAACGAAATAAAATGAAATACAAAGAAATAAAAAGAAATAAAAAAGAGATGAATAAATAAATGAAAATAAAAAAGAAACCAAAAAGAAGTTAAAAGAGATTAAATGGAATTAAAAGGAATTAAAAGAAATTAAAAGAAATTAAAAGGAATTGAGAGAAAGTGAAAAAGAAAAAAGAAATAAAAATGGAGAAATAAAGGGAAATAAAAATAAAAGATAAAAAAGATTAAAAATGGAAATTAAGGAAATTAAGTGGAGACAAAGAAAAAATAAAAAAAGATAAAATGGAAATAAAAAGGAATCAAAAACGAATATAAATAAATAAATAAATATAATAAATAATAAACAGATAAATAAATAACAAGAAAGAAAATGAAAAAGGAAATGAAGATAAAACAAAATGGGACAATCCTAAACCCTAAACCCTGAACCCTAAACCCTAAACCCTAAAAAAGAAAATAAAAAGGAAATAATAAAGAAATAATAAAGGCAATAAAAAAGAAATAAAAAGAAATAAAAGGGAAACAAAAAGGAAAAAAGAGAAACAAGAAGAAGATAAAGGAGAAAGAAAAAGGAAATAAAAAGAAATAAAAAGGAAATCAAAAAGGAAATGAAACAGAAATAAAAAGGAAACAAAAAAGACAAAAAGTTAATAAAAAAGAAACAAAAAGAAATAAAAAAGAAATAAAAAGGAAACAAACAAAGGAACAAAACAGAAACAAAAGCAGGAAAAAGAAAAAAGAATAAAAGAATAAAGAAAAAAGAAAAAAAGAATAAAGAGAAAAAGGAAAAGGAAAAAAAGAATAAAGAAAAAAAGAATAAAGAGAAAAGGAAAAGGAAAAGGAAAAAAAAGAAAAAAGAAAAAAAAAAAAGAAAAAAGAAAAAAAAAGGAAAAAAAGGAAATTAAAGAAAGATAAAGACGGGACCTAAAAGAAACGAAAAGAAAAAAAGAAACAAAAGACGAAAAAAGCGAAAACAGAGACATAAGCCTAGCTGGCTAGCTAGCTAGCTAGCTAGCTAGCCAGCTAGCTAGCCAGCTAGCTAGCCCCTATATAGCTAGCTAGCCAGCTAGCAAGCCCCTATATAGCTAGCTAGCTAGCTAGCTAGCTAGCTAGCTAGCTAGCTAGCTAGCTAGCTAGCTAGCTAGCTAGCTAGGGCGTTGCGTGCCTAGGGAGTCGAGGAAGCGTTTGGGATCGTGGGGATCGATCGATCCCAGACGAGTAAGAAGAACTCGAGAAAGAAAACTTTTTCCGTGATCGACGTGAGCGATGACGCAAAAGTTTCGAATTTTGGAAACTTTTGCTGCCAAAAAAAGGCCCGCTCGCTCCTCCAACGAGCGCCTGCTGCTGCTGCTGCTGCTGCTGCTGCTGCTGCTGCTGCTGCTGCTTTTTTTCGCGCCGCTGCTGCTTTTTTTCAAGCCGCTGCTGCTGCCGCTGCTGCTGCTGCTGCTGCTGCTGCTGCTGCTGCTGCTGCTGCTGCTGCCAGAGAGGGCGGCCTTTGGGCTGCGGGCGGCAGCAGCAGCGCCGCCCGCTGCTGCTGCTGCTGCTGCTGTTGCTGCTGCTGCTGCTGCTGCTGCTGCTGCTGCGGGTTTGGGCCTTGTGGAGAAGGCACGGGAAGAGCCCTGGAGCCAAGGACTCGAGCAGCAGCAGCACCTGCTGCTGCTACGCTGCTGCTGCTGCTGCTGCTGCTGCTGCTGCAGGACAAAGCCTTCCGTAGGGGCAGATGGGCGCGGAAGGTGCAGCAGCAGCTGCTGCTGCTGCAGCAGCGGCTGCTGCTGCTGCTGCTGCTGCTGCTGCTGCTCAGACCTGCTGCCTGTGGGGTGTCCAGGGAGCCTCCTGGCCGCTGAGGTGTACGTACACCTCAGCCAGCAGCAAAACCCAGGCCGCCAGGGGGCCCCCAAAATGAAGGAGGGGGCCCCCGCCATGGGGCCCCCCGCAGCTTGCTGCTGCTGCAGCAGCAGCAGCAGCAGCAGCAGCAGCAGCTGCAGCAGCAGCAGCAGCAGGGAATGGGGGGGCTTGGAGCTCTTCTTCATGCACGCCCCTCGCGAGCCCTGCGGTGTATGTACACCCCTCAAGCAGCAGCAGCAAACACTTTTAATTCTTTCTCTTATTTCATTTTATTTTTGTTTTATTTTTATTTTATTTTATTTTATTTTTATTTTATTTCTCCTTTTTATTATTTAAAACCTTTCTTTTCTTCAAAAAGGTCTACAGAGCCACAATATCCACCAGGGGGGCCCCCGGGGGGCCCCTGGGGGCCCCCAGGGGGCCCCAGGGGCCCCCAGGGGCCCCCAGGGGCCCCCAGGGGCCCCCAGGGGCCCCAGGGGGCCCCCTTAGTGTTAAGAGCACATTTTTAATATTATTTGAATGGTTGGGATTGTGATTTGGCCAGTTATAAACCCTAAACCCTAAACCCTAAACCCTAAACCCCAAACCCTAAACGCTTTGCCGTAAACCTCAGCAGGAACGGCCGCGTAAACCCCAAGCCCTAAACCCTATACACTAAATCCTAAACCCTAAGCCCTAAACCCTAAACCCTAAACGCTAAACCCTAAATCCTAAACCCTAAACCCTAAACCCTAAACCATGGAGCTCAGCTGGAACATGCCGGAAAGAAAAAGAGCCTTCCAGGCTACCACTGAAGAACACCGCTGAGGGTTTAGGGTTTAGGGTTTAGGGTTTAGGGTTTAGGGTTTTCCTTAGAGGGCTCGGCGCCCAGGGCCTAGGCGGGTGCATGCAAATTGCCAGCGCCCTAAACCCTAAACCCCAAACCCCGAACCTTAAACCCTAAACCGCAAACCCTAAACCCCAAACCCTAAACCCTAAACCCTAAACCCTAGGGCCTAAAGCGCATGGCTTTGGACAGGCTAAAGTAATAGGTATAAGTGCAAAAGAAAGGGGAGAAGTGGTGGCTTAGCTCTAAACTCTAAACCCCAAGTCCTATGCCGGAAACCCTAAACCCTAAACCCTAAACCCTAGACCCTAAAGGCATCGTCCCAAACCCTAAACCCTAAACCCTAAGGCGTCGGAGAGCTCAGTTGCACATCAGAGACCTTGTCTTTGGTTTCAAATACATCTCGTTAGTGCGGATTATAAAACATCAGCCCTAAACCCTAAAAAAGGGTTTGGACTTGCGCAGCGTGGGCTGCGCGCGGGAGACAAAAAACAGACAAAAGAAAGCCTAAACCCTAGGCCTCGGGGCGCTGCCAACCCGCGCCCCAACCCCAACCCCAAACCCTAAACCCTAAACCCTAAACCCTAAACCCTAAACCCTCAGGACTGGGGGTCCTGGAGGGGCAGCCGGAGCTCGTCGGGCAGCTGCTCTTCGCGAAAAGGCTGCTCCGAAAAGAACACCCGCTGCAGGCGACAACTGGAGTGAATTAAAACTCGAGAAGTATAATTATAATGAGTGCCGAAGGCTTTGCGAGTGAGTTCGGCCAAGTTGAGGTGTACGTACACCCAGCCGCTGTCCATGCGCAGCGGCATCGCGCACAGAAAAGGCTTGATCCGCGTCGTTTTCTGTCCAAACAAACGCAAAAAACTCCCCAATTCCTTTTATTCTTTTTATTAATTCCTTTTTATTCTTTTTATTCACTTTTTCCGCTTCTTTTCGACCTATTTTGAGCTCTCAAAACCCCAAAATGACGAAAATCGAAGCAGCTTTCGCGCCCGCGCCGCCGCCGCTCAGGTGTACGTACACCTCAGCGCCCGCCGCACCAAGCTGACCCGAAACGCTCAACTTCGTTCATTTTTATTTATTTTGAACGCAAAAACACATTTTTACTTCGCAAACATTTTATTTATTCAAAATAAACACTTTAAGTCCTTTATTTTCCATTTAAAACGAGAAATGAAGCAGCAGAAGTGTCTCAGCAGCCGCTGCGACTGCCCGGCGTTTGCAAATGCGCGAAGGGAAGAATTTAATGCAAATAGATTTAATTTGAATTTATTTCGAATATTAATTTTAAATTTAATTCAAATAGTGTTAATTGAGCCATTCAGTTTCTCGAAAAAGACCAGACCAAGCCAAAAGCGCATGCATGCATGCATGCATGCATGCATGCATGTAGCGGAGCTGCAGTGTACAGACACCTGGAAGTTGGAAGCCCTGAATCTTCTTTTTGTATTTTTGCTGTCATATATTTGCACTTCGAAGGAAAAGAGTTTGTTGAGCTGTACATACACCCCCGCACAAATTCAATTAGATTAAATGAACATTCAGCAGAACAAACAGCAGCAAGAAGCAGCAGCAGCAGCAGCAGCAAACGCAGCAGCAGCAGCAAACGCAGCAGCAGCAGCAGCAAACGCAGCAGCAGCAGCAAAGATCATCCACAGAAGGAGAAAGAGTCTGGAAGCCGTTTAAACGGGGAAAAAAGCAAAAAACAAACAAATTAAATTAAATTAATTAAATTAAATTAATTAAATTAAATTAAATTAATTAAATTAAATTAATTAAATTAAATTAAATAAATAAATAAATTACATTTTTGACCAAAAGAACAATAACTGGCAAAGTTATCTTCAGCGCCCGCTGCGGCTCCGGCGGGCAGCAAATGCAGCAGCAGCGCAGGGGGCCCCTCAGCTCCACCACGGGGGCCCCCCCCAGTTCGCGGTCTGCTGCTGCTGCTGCTACGGAGGCCCCTGCTGCTGCAGTGCAGCAAGCCCACAGCTGCAGCGGGTGCGACCTGCAGCAGCAGCAGCAGCAGCAGCAGCAGCAGCAGCAGCAGCGGCGGCGGGGCGGCAGGTGAGGCGGCAGCAGCGCCAGCAGCGCGTGAACAGCAGCAGCAGCAGCAGCAGTGTCGCAGGTGAAACAGCAGCAGCAGCAGCAGCAGCAGCAGTGCGGCAGGTGAAGAAGCAGCAGCAGCAGCAGCAGCAGCAGCAGTGCGGCAGGTGAAGAAGCAGCAGCAGCAGCAGCAGCAGCAGCAGCAGCAGGTGAACCGCAGCAGCACCAGCAGCAGTATGGCGGGTGAAGAAGCAGCAGCATGAGCAGCAGGTGAAGAAGAGCAGCAGCAGCAGCAACAGCAGCAGCACACAGCAGCTCTGCAAGTGCAGGCGGCTCTGCTGCTGCTGCTGCTCCGACTGCAGCAGCAGCAGCAGCAGCAGCAGCAAGCGAAGAGGAAAGGAGAGACAAAAGCAGCAAAAGCAGCAGCTTAGGGTTTAGGGTTTAGGGCAAAGAGACACACTTTCTGCTGCTGAGGCACCTGCAGCAAGAGCAGCAGCAGCAGCAGCAGCAGCAGCAGCAGCAGCAGCAGCAGCAGCAGCAGCAGCAGC